GGTTTGGGGTCACTGTTCTATCTCATTAGTCCAAGCTTTGCGCATTGTTTATAGAACAAGGGAGATTCAAATTGTTTGCTTGCAAATTTTTGATTTTTTATACCCGAGTCAACAAATTTAGTGCATTACACCATATATGCCTTTATACGTCGAAAAAATATTATGGCCTAACCATGATATATGCAAGTATTTGATTTAATATGCTGTGACATTCGTGTTGCTAGAATATCACTATATTATTTCTGTGCCGATACACACATGCACACACTCCATACTTTCCTTATATGTTATCAATTATATAGGTTAAGTAACACCCTCAAGACTGGAGGAGGTAGCTAAATCTTGTCTTATGAGCCAATGCATTTGAGATACACACAAGAGTCATGGGACAGAACTACAAATCATGATAGATAAATGCCTTCTGCAATTGTTTATGGTGTTATTATAGCTATGGAGGTGAAGTGTAATTGTTTATGATGTACACTTAAAAGAGATTGTTGGCTTTTATCTTTGATTCTATACTTTTTTGGTCGAAATTCCATCCATGAACATAGTTTAGATGGATTAATATTTTCTTTTTCTTGTTTATAGACAAAACAGAAGACTTATCTATGTCATTAAACTAGTTGGTTATTTTTGCGACATTAGACGGCCAAACTTTTCTTCTGTAGTGCAACACTTTTATTTGGTTAGTTACAATCAGGTAACTACTGGAACGACATTCGATTTCAAACACTAGGCGGCTGCCTCTAACGAATCACCACAGTAGGTATAACTTGTTCTGTAACATTAATACTCCGTAGTTATTTTTCCAATGTACAACTTATTAATTATGGAGAGTTAATAGTACAAATAATACTGTATAAAATATACCGTGTAGTCGCATTTTCAAACTTCTTAGTTCAACTAAATTTAACCATCCTTCCCTCCTGATGTGTTCAACTTTTTTTTATTTAGTCCTGTTCTAGTGTGTTTCTCAATGTTAGCCTCCGTAAATACTATGGAGTATTTCCATCAGGGTACTATGGAGTGTTTCTCAATTCCTTCATTGATGATTGTGTTGAAAAATATTTACACTGTGTTTGGTTCAAAAAATTTGAGAGGGAAAGAAAAAGAAATTGAGAAGAAAAATATTTTTCTTGTTGGTGAACAAAATGAGAAAAAAACATTGTCTTTTCTTTTCCTATCAAATTTCTAGAACCAAACATAGTGTTAATAACTCTTACTCAAAATCGCACTTATAAATAAGCAAATATGGAGTACTTGAATCAGTTTTGAGATTACTTCTTATTTTATTATTTTCAAGGTCGAATAATATGTTGTTTCTATACATATATTTTAATTAATTATATAATAAAATAGAATAAATTCCATAAAAGGTCCTCAGTTATAGGTCGTTTTACATATTTAGTCCCTACATATCAAATATTACTAATTTGGTCCCCAATTATTATATTTACTTCTACGAATGGTCCTTTGTTAACATTTTCATTAAAACGTGGATAAAATTATAAATTCACACTCCTTTCTCTCCTCAATTAAGCTTTCTCATCCCTTTTACTCCTTTCTCAAACCCGTCGCTGAGTTTCTAGCTTTGAACCCTAAACCAAAATCATCACTCTTCTCTCAATTGTTTGTCTAACTGGAGGAACGATCATTTAAATTTTGGGTTTAAAAGCTTCAAACTCAGCGACGAGTTTGGGAAAGAGTATGAGAAGATGAAGAAAGCTTAATTGAGGGGAGAGAGAAGTATGAATATACAATTTTATCCACGTTCTTAACGGAAATGTTGACAAAGGACCATTCGTGGAAATAAATATATTAATTGGGGACTAAATTAGTAATATTTGATATGTAGGGACTAAATATGTAAAACGACCTATAACTGGGGACCTTTTATATAATTTACTCAATAAAATATTATTAGGATACAGGCCTAGTGTACTCAATGCTTTGGTTCAACGACCACGCACATGCGACGCGGTTCTCGGAGAAATTTGAGCACCGAGAGATTCTCCCTCCCCGATTCTCCACCGCCCGCTTCATTCATGACTCCATTCCACGTGAGGCACGGATTATCCTCGAACGTGGAAACTTCCTCGATCTCCTCTACATCAAGAAGGTCAACTATCAACCCTTTCTTGTTCGAGCTTTCTACTCGAACTTGAAAAAGGATGAGGACGGAGCATTGATCTCTAATGTCAACGGAGTGGACATCTATTTGAATGAGGAGAACATTCAAATCCTCACCGGGCTTCCTCGGGATGGACAGGATCTCGGGCTCTACGCCGGAGAAGAAGGAGCGCGGTTCAATGAGACCGCTCTCTTGGAGGAAGTGGGCATCCGACACTTCGTACCCACTCCCCAACAGCGGCGCCCTACGATTGCTTCCATGAGTCCCGTGTTTCGATTCATCTTTTATGTTTTGACACGGATTCTCAAGCCCAGGGAAGTTCAATCACACCACTCTCTCCCAGGAGGACACGAAGACAATTCATGCAATGATTCACAACGCCAATCTCAATTGGTGTAAATTTGTGATGATCCACATGTTCAACGCCACCTCCAACAACCGGCCGCTCCCTTATGCTCTTCTTGTCATGGCAATCCTTGATGAGTTCCACATCAAGACGAACGTCGGGCCGAAATGCAAAGGGACGAAGCATTGGGTGATTGATGAGTCCTCTTTCCACCCGGGAACAGATGAAGCTTCGTTCCCGCTGCCTCGTCCTCGCCGCCAACCGAGAGCTACTGCCTCGACTGCCACCACTTCAACCAATCCGTCTCTCGCCGAGCAAATGGCAGCGTTGACCACCACTCTCTCTCGGATAGACACCAACGTCTCCAAAACGGCACACAATGTCGATATTTTGAGTCGTGAGCTTCACGAGTATTTTGACTTTGTCAATTACCCTTACGCTAAAATGGTCCCCTACGTTCCTCCACCGAATTTCGGAGGTGAACCAAGCGGGACTCAAAATGTTGGTAGGGACGACGCGGTGGACGTTGAAGAAGAAGAAGCAGAAGAAGAAGAAGAGGAGGAAGAAGAAGCCGATGATGATAATGATGATGGCGATGGTGATGAAGATGGAGATGATGAAGAAGAAGACATTGACGAAGAACAACTTCTCAATGATCTTTCCTCGGATTTCTAAGAGCTCTAGCTCTATTTTTCTCCTCTTCCTTATTTTATCATCTTTTAATATGCTTTCGTTATGAACTCCTCTATTTCCATTAAATAATAAATAAAAATCTTTATGGTCTTTTTGTTAATGTCAAAAGGGAGAAGATAAGGGCTATGCATATTTTCAGGGGGAATTTTATTAACGGGGAATTTTGTTTCAAAAAGATCAAAACCCTATGCATATCCCCGTCTTGTTTGCCATTATCAAAAAGGGGGAAATTGTTGGAACACACTTTGTATGTTAAACTAAAGTCGTGTTCATTTCTGACAGGTTTTGATAATTGCCAAACCGCCGTGGATATGAAGAGTTTTGTTGAATAACTCAAGGCGTGAAGAATGGCTTGGAACAAGACCTAAAAGACTCAAGGACAAGATCAAGAATTGAAGACTTAGTCGAGTCGGTCTTTTGTGATCAAAACCGACAATTTAATCAAGTCTCGGTTCTCAAAAAGTCAAAACAATTTTTACAAACCATAAAACATTTTTTTGTGCATCAAAACAAACATTTTTGATGACTTCTTTTATTGCTAAAAATTCCTGGTCCTTGCTCAGAACCAAAACCACCTAAGTCAGCGTTCGGCTTTTGGCATTCGGCTTTCGACGTTCGGTTTTCGGCGTTCGGTTTTTGGCGCCCGAACCAACTCCGTGGTTTTCAATATTTTAAACCCTGTTCTTATCTCTGAGCATATTTTAAAGGTTCCCGAATAATTATTTTATAAAAACCACTTTTGTATCTTGGTCAATCAGTCTAACACGTGAAAAACGGTCAAAACCATACGCACGTGATTTACGACCTTGAGGACTTGGTTTTTACCAAACAAGTCTTGTTTTCACTATTTTATACCATATACAATGTTTTTCATACTTGGTTTTTACTTTTGGGAACACTTCGTTTTTGGACCTCGGTTTTTCAAAACGGGTTTCAGCTGGCTAGACTTTAGCTGGGTGATAATCGATTATCACCTTAGTGACAATCGACTATCAGCCACTGCAGCTTTGAACTTCCAAGTTCTGAAGCACGCAATAATCGATTATCAGCTTTGCAATAATCGATTATCAGCCTTTGCAGCCAAAACCCAGAATCTTCAGAGAGGACCAATAATCGATTATCACTTGTTGACAATCGATTATCTGGGTTACCGTTGTCCTCCAACGGAT